GTGAGCAATATTGGGAGGAGAGGTAGAGGGAGAGATTGAGAGTGAGCGATCTTGAGGGAGAGATAGAGGGAGAGATTGAGAGTGAGCAATAGTGGGAGGAGAGTTAGAGGGAGAGATTGAGAGTGAGCGATCTTGGGGGAGAGATAGAGGGAGAGATTGAGGGTGCGTAACGATGGGGGAGAGATAGAGGGAGAGATTGAGGGTGTGTAACGATGAGGGAGAGATAGAGGGAGAGATTGAGGGTGCGTAACGATGAGGGAGAGATAGAGGGAGAGATTGAGGGTGCGTAACGATGGGGGAGAGATAGAGGGAGAGATTGAGGGTGCGTAACGATGGGGGAGAGATAGAGGGAGAGATTGAGGGTGCGTAACGATGGGGGAGACAGTTGAGGAGGGGGTGCACAGGCGGAGAGGGAGAGCGTGCAGGCAGGAAGGGGAGGTATAGGGAGCAGGAGTGAGGGGGGAGAGACGGAGAAGATTGAGGAACGGCGATGGAGGGAGCGAGCGGAAGAGAGAGAGAGAGAGAGAACGCTCTCTCTCAGTCAGAGAAGAGACTAGCGAAGGACTTTCTCAGGTTCCGAACTGTTTCAGCCTTGACTTCATCGTTACTAAGGCTTGTACGGGTTAGCAGCGTGTCTGGAATGTTGAAGGTATTTGTCAGAGACTGGGATTTGCTAGGGGATAATGCAAAAGAGACAACTCTTTGAGCAGAAGAGGCAACATCATAGTGTCTGATTTCAGAGCTCACTCGAGCTGATCAATACCTGGGGTGCTCGGTCAATTCATTCGCTCGTCTCAGAGGAACGGAGAGCAGCTCAAAATTGACACACAGAGGGTGCTGCACAAGGCTCTCCCCCTCGCGCTGTCTCTCTTTCCATTCCCCTCTCTCTCACTCAATTTGGACCTCACTCTGTCCCGTGCTGTGTCGCAGGGTCAGCGCTGAGGGAGCAGACAGTCGGAGGGTCGGCACCGAAGGAGTGGTCACTGAGGGAGGGTCAGCGCTGAGGGAGCAGGCGCTGTCAAAGGGTCAGCGCCGAGGGGAGGGGGCGCGGTGGGAGGGTCAGCCCCCGGGGCGGGGGCGCTGCAGGTGGGTTAGCGCCGAGGGGAGCGGGCGCCGTCGGAGGGTCAGCGCCGAGGGAGCGGGCGCTGTCGGAGGGTCAGTGCCGAGGGAGCGGGCGCTGGGTCACAGGGGAGAAGGCAGGAGAATGGGGTTGAGAAACGTCTCAGCAGCAGTCAAATGACAGGGGGTCCCCGATGGGCCGAACGGCCTCCTTCCTGCTCCTGTAAACTCACGGTCTCCGGCCTTTCGGCCCGTCTAATCCGTCGGGAAGCCCGCACTCGGCCTGCTCCCTCCTGGACAAAGCTGTCCAACGGATCTGCCACATAGTCACGGGAAGGTTTTTGTTTTGGGGCGGGGGCAGTGGGGGTCGGCGGGGATTGAGACCAAAAGGCACCCCCTTCCCCCACCCCCCACCCCATCGAAATAGTCAAGTCAATACATCATCCTCAACAGAGCGAAAGTGTCCAGTGAGTTTCCGTTCCTATCCCCTCCACCCAGCTCTCTCCGAACCTACCATCTGCTTCGTCTTTTGATGTGACCACTCCATCTCTATAACCTCCCTGCCTCTATAACCTCTGTCACCCTTCCCTCCCCACCCTCACCCCCTCATCTACCATCAGAACATTCAAGATCCCTGCTTCCCGCAGAGATTCGCGAGCCTCCGAGAGAATTTGTTTCTCCCCTCCCTTTGCTCCTCTCCATCTTAAAGCGATGATCCCCAATTTCTAACGTCACCGCTCCCTAATGCTAGGGAACACCTTCTCCCCGTCCCATCCCCTTTCCCGGCTGATCGACTCTCCCTTGGCATCTTCTGTGATTCCTCCAAACTCCGTACCACCCCGGGCTGTCTGACTGGCAGGGGATAGTCTGGGAAGCTTTCCCTGAACGGCCTCCAAACACACTCACATCCCGCCTTCAATACAGAGGCCAGTCCTGGATACAGTATTCCCAGTGCGGTCCCACCATCTCCCTGTCAAACCGCAACTTCGCCTCCCCTTCTCAGCTTCCCTTCAATTCTGTCAGCCGACTAACGGATCGCCTGTCCCGCAAAACTTTACAACTTAGTGGGCTCTTGCTGTGCCGTGTGGAGTCTGTGGGAGGGTGGGGGGGCACAGCTGGAAGATACGCACACCACCTGGGGAATGTGCAGCTGAAATGGTGTGAGCTTTCGAAGCTGGTGAGGCAGAACGGCGAGGAAGAAGGTTAAGAATTCGATGAAGCAGTTACTGGGTGAGTCACAAGGGCTATCCATTTTCCGCACCTTGCTGCTGTGGATGCAAGTCAGGATTGGAGGGGCTGGTCTTTGTGTGTGTGTAAGCTCTCGGAGGGGAAGGGCGATTGGGACGGAGCTAATGAGCAAACCTGTTCAAACAAGAGAGCATGTCGGCTGAGAGGGGAGAAAAGCACTCTCCAAATAACCAAAATGGGCGTGTAAAGTAAAGGAAGTCTCCTCGCCCTTCGATCCCTTCTCCAGTGGGGAGTGGGGGATGTCCCGGAGAGGAGAGCGGGGGGACTCCCGGAGCAGGGAGAATCCCAGAGCGGGGAGCAGGGAGAGTCCCGGAGTGGGG